AGATAAATTGGAGAGGATTCAGAGAAGAGCCATGAGAATGTTTGAAGGATTAGAAGAATTATAGTGATAGACTCCAGGAGCTCAATCTATTTAGTTTAACAAAGAGAAGTTGAAGGGGTGACTTAATTACAATCTATAACTACCTATGCGGGTATGTGGGAAACAAATATTTAATAATGAGCACTTCAATTTAGCAGAAAAAGGAATAGCATGGTCCAATGTGTGGAACAAGTTGAAACTAGACAAAGTCATACTGGATATAAGGTTTCACAGTAGCAGCCGTGTATAAGGTGTAATTTGTTAACAGTGAGAGTAATTAACCATTGGAACAATTTACCAAATGTTGTGGTAGATTCTCCATCACTGACCATTTTAAAATCAAGATTGGATGTTTGTCTAAAAGATCTACTCTAGGATTTATTTTGGGGAAGTTCTATGGCATATGTTATTCAGGAGGTCAGACTGGATGATCACAGGGATCCCTTACAACCTATGAATCATAGAAAGGAAAGGTGACTCAGTGGTTAGAACAGTAGCATGGGTCTTGGAAGGCCAGGATTCATGGGAATTGTAATGTATTATGGTATTGAGGGCCATATATGTTCTGTAGATAAAAAGCAGTCAGTTTAACCGTGTAAATTCCATAAACTGATATTGTTCTAATGGTATCAATGATAAGTTCTCAATCAAAGCTTATGTTTCTGATCCTGAGCAATAACACTGTTATGTGACTTGAGTTTCCTATACTTGTTTCTAGAAATGTGTAAATTTGCTTACTGTGAAAGAGAATTGAATTAGTACCAGTTTGTCAGGAAACATCACAAAAATGATACTATAACTTTAATGAGAAGGCAATATTGTGTTCAAACCAAAACCAAAACAAAACTAAAAGTGGCATCGTTAAAATACATTTTTTTTAAAATGTCAGGAAATACAAATATTAAAGTTCTTCTGTCAAAATTAATTCAGACATGTTGCACATCTTGTGTATTGAATGGTACACATGTAGAAAACTAAACAGAAGTTTCATAATCTGCATATGAAACAGAAAAAAAAAGAATAGGGGTTACATACAATTATGTGCAACATGGCATTATAAACTTTTGCTTTTCTTGACTTTTCTTTAATTAATTCTACAACATCAGCGTTAGAAGTTTTCTGTATTTATTGTAATTTGGTTTCCTTGGAGTGTTGTGGAAACCACCTTTGTAGAAAAGCTTTTACACTGTTATCTATTGGATCAACTAACTTGCCGTGTTCCTGTTAACAGACCTCAGTCCTGTAACATTTACGCGTGTGTTTAAATTTATGCAGGTGATTAATGCCAGTTGATGTCAATTGGGATTACTCACATATTTAAAGTTAAGCACGTTTGTAAGTATTTGCAGGATCACAGCCTGAACCAAAACCCAGGGGATCTGATCTCTCCTGAGCTTTTGAGAAAATTCAGATTTGTCTCTGAATTCAGAATCGGTGTCTTGCCTCTTCTCTATACTAAATAAACTGAACCAATCCCTTGCCTCACTCACCCATGAACTTCAAATCCAGATCCAAATGTTTGTGGTTCCAGCTGAATTTTGCTTTTGACTTCTGCTGTCTGCATAGGAAAATCCCAGTCTCTACAATGTGAGACTGAAATGCAGAATGTGGGTTTTATAGATGCAACAAAGGTATGTACTTGCCAAATGTCACTGTGTCAGAGTTTATCAAGTGTGGCCCGAAAGCCTGAACTGGAAAGCAATGGGTTTCTTGCCTCAATTTCCCAAAAATGTTACTGTGCTCAATAATAATGTATTGCCAGAGAAACAATGGGAAATAAGACTTTATTAGTTTGTGGTTTTTGTGCTTGTCCAACATCATCAACCACAACTAAAGCACTGATTTAAAAATGCATTTTGGAAAGCAATCAGTTCTGAATTTAGTTTAATAACTTTCTGCATTTAAAAAAGGCAAATTAAAGTGTGTGGGTGATAGTTGACATTAAGGGACACTTTGTGGCCAGGTGTGGCAGAGTACAAATGGTTTGAGAGGATATAAGTAGCTTTTGGCACACAGCAGCCAACCACAACTGTATATTTAGTGCAAGGACTACTTCTGGCTAATGCCATACCAAAAGGTCTTTAAACCCTGCTGCTTATAGAGGGGTAGAGAACATGGGTGTTTCCCAAGATGATAAAACATAGCTCTTTGTCCCTCTCTAGTGGCTAGATGTTTATGAGGCTGTTACAAAGCCTTAGAGCTAACAGCCTTAATTCTCCAATTGCTGCCTCATTTGCATTACCACCCGGAGAGAGACCATCTGTGAGGCTTGAACCCAGAACAACCTCTGAATTTAAAGGTGGGGACCCCTACTGCTTGAGCTAAGGAAATGTGTCCCTTAACTTAGAGACAATAGTAGCAGATCCATAAACTTCTACACACGGTTTAGCCAGGATAGGGGGAACAGAGACTTTCACTGGGTTAATGTGGGTGACACGCTTCCACTAGCTGAAGAATTTGTGTAGACACAATGATCCCTATGCTCCTGTGAGGACAGTCTAGCTCCTGTGTGGCCTATCACAGAGCTATTGCTCACATTAACAATTGAGTCCTAAGAAATGTATAATAATGGGTTGTGTTGCAGTATATTGGGTAAATAGGTGAGTTTCAAACTCTTAAACAAAAATTCAATATACAGCTTATCTATGGTGAGAAGTGCTTCTTACCAGGTATATCGCTGAACAAAGCAGGCGCAGCTGCCTTTTAAATGTTTAAAAGTAAATATTTCCATGATACCAGAGGAGCAGTCATGATTTATCAAGTAAATAATCCCTTACAAATACTCCAAGGCAATATGCTCTGAAGTCCACATTTAAAGCTACAATTTCAGTGAGTCTCTTCTTATGACCAGGCTAGCTGGAAATACACATTAGAGTTCCATCTTTTTTAATTTCCATGCGTCAGAGTGTATGGATCAAGTGAAGCTTTAAGAAAAAAAAACCTATATAAATAAATATAGCCCAGCTATAAATATAAATTGCATTATATATTACAAGCAGGGGGATGAATTACAATGGAGAAATAAAGTAGTAAGAAAACATATGTGGGATCATTTGAGGGGAAAATCCCATCGATGAGCAATTTTTGGCCGTGCCCTAGTTAGTTTCCTTAAGGAAGTGGTAGATTCACTTCAAACTGAATCAGAGAAAGTTTTCAGATATATAGTGGAGAAGAATCCTACATTGTCTGGACTAGGTGACCTTATAGGTCTTTTCCATCCCTAACTTATATGTATTAAAGAAAGCTCCACTATCCTCTTACATAAAATATATTTTGGGGGTTGGCAGAATAAACTGTATTTTGAGTTGATTTATTCTTTTAACAGGTTCCACTAAAGTGAGTCGTGGCTAATGAATACCAATTAATATAAGAGTTTCTCGTGCCAAATTCAGGTTAGAATGAATAAATTAAATCACGCATAAAGCTCAGAAATGGAAAAGATGAGTCTGTGGTTGCTATCAGTTCTTCTTCTAAATATGAGATCATTTCTCCCAGTAGTATTGATGGGAATTTCTCTTGCATACAGACTGCAGGATTGGGCTTGTGGTGAGAAATAAAGGGGATGAAAAAGAATAAAATAGCAGAAAAAGGATTAGATGTTATTCTAAGGTCTTTGAGGCAGGAACTGTCTTTTTGTCTTTGGTTTGTACAGCACCTGGTGCAACAGGGTCCTGGTCAATGACTGGAGCTCCTACATGTTACCACAATTCAAATAATAAATAATTATTATCTCTATGTCAGTAAAGATGGCCAAATATTTATAAATCTATTCACCTCAATCCATGAAATCAATCCATGAAATCAATGGGAACTGATCAGGTCATGCATTGCTTATATTTGTTATATATTATTTATGGCCCCAATCTTACAAACATTTATGTATGTGCTTAACTTTAAGCATTTGAATAGTCTGATTGAAGTCAACAAGATTACTCATGTACTTAAATGTATGTAGAATTTGGCCTTAGCTGAAAAAAGAACTGATTCTGGGAACATTTGCTACTCTGCATAGAACCAATAACTGTGAATTCAAGGGACTGTTTGTGACAGTCTTTTGCTCCATGGTAAGTGCTTGCGGGAAATAGGGTTGCCACCCCTCCAGGATTTTCCTGGAGTCTCCAGGAATTAAAGATTAATCTTTAATTAAAGCTTATGTCATGTGATGAAACCTCCAGGAGTACGCCCCATCAAAATTGGCAACACTAGCAGGGAAGCACCCTAAGATTTTTACAGTTACTACAGTGACAAAAACTATAGAAATGCCTATAAACTACTAAAATAAATAAATAATGAATATATTCATTATGTGTGTATTCTTAGAGCATACATATACCCCAGTCATTAATACCTGGAAGGGATTGTTAACTTACAGCCGCTGATATCTTTCATCATGTAAACATTACTATAATGAAGAACTAGGGTGCTCTCTTATATACCTTCAGAAATATCATTTACCACATTTTTGCAGTCTAAGAATGTTTGGGGTTAGGGAGGAGACTTTTTATTCATTGTGCGTTACGCTATGGTTTGTTAACTAATATGAATTAATGGGAATAACGGCTAAATTGCATTTTGGTCATTTTGCATGAATAACATTGTATTAGCATAAATTCCAAGTTGTAATTTTCTAGGCATGCTTTTGGATGTACTTAACTGACATATGAGATTAGTTAGAGACTTTAAAATGACAGTGAGTCATTCTTTGCTAAAGAGTTGTTAATTCTTTGTCATATAATTACAGGTAACTACATTGTTTTCTTTCTCTCACAAAAATGTGACAGAAAGCCCCGCACGCCTCTAAGTCAGCACAAATCCAGTCAGGGAACCTTCCTTTCTGTGTCTTGAAACTATGACAGCAGCATGTTCCATGCCCGCTGGAAAGTATTTATGCCCAAGGGCAGGGGAAAATATACATGAAAGAAGGTCTGTAATCATACTGCCTTTCATTTTGTTTAATCTAGTTATGCCACGTTTTGCTGAACAAGTTGAGGTTGCCATTGAAGCTTTGAGTGCGAATGTCCCACAGCCATTTGAAGAGAATGAATTCATAGATGCCTCCCGCTTGGTTTATGATGGAGTTCGTGACATCAGGAAAGCTGTTCTGATGATAAGGGTATGTAGAGGCACCTGGGAAATAAAAGTTGGTGCTTAAAAGAAAGTATCATAGAAGACGAGAGGAATATAAAAGCTGCCTGGCACCTACATTGTTTTATAATCAAGAAGAATCAATTGACATGGAAATAAATGTAGAACAAATGTTTGTACAGCAGAAAGATTTTGTTAGTAAAGAGATTAGATTATTTTAACACTTGTTTGTGAGTCTGAGGTTTGTAAAAGTTAAGGAGCAGTAGGAGAGGCTACAGCCGTATGTCGCACTAATAGGTTCCACAAATAGGTGTCTGTGCACCTTTGTAACCTATTGCACCCTATTGTTCTAATCTATGGCCTCATTAGAACAGAGGTTGATATCTGTCGTTGCGTAGGTTTTAGTTTATGTAGCTCTGTGTTCCCAAGGAAATAGGAAAAGATGCACCAAAGATACTTTTGTTAATTATTTAGGGTACGATTTGATCACATTTCTCTGTAGATGCAAGGCCCAGTACAACAGAATTATTTCAGTGTTAGTGCAATTGTTTTGTTAAGAACTTAATTGTTTACATGGAATATTTTATTGCTAATCTCTGCGTGCATCTAGGTGAATGAGGTAGGTATTGTTAATTACTAAATGAGTAAATTAAATACCTTGCTGCTCCACAGAGCTTTCAAAAGGATGGTTTTAAATGTTTATGCAGGTAAAGAAAGTGCCATTTGAATGTTGACTAGCCAATTGATTCAATTTGATCAGGCATCCTTTTTACAATAAGCTGAGCAACATACTAATTCAGAGAATAGGTCTGCCTAGTTCTTCAGTGTCACCACAGCCACATCGTAAAGAGCCTGACCCTAAGAACAACTGAGCTCCTGTTTGTGAACAATGGGATGCATGGCTTCATAGGATCAGGCTTCAGGCCCAGTGTAAGCCATGCAAACAGAGCAGCAGTGAAAACACTTCGAAGAATCTGAAACACAGCAAAATAAAAAAAAAATCCCTATTTAAACAACTGGCAGTGTTGAAACAACAGCCCTCACTTTGAGCGGCTTTCAGCAAGCTGGTAACCGTGCTTGGTGGCTGTGACTATCACATGGCGCTGATGAAAACTCTGGAAGGATTGAGGGCAGTCAGTTTTTTTTTTAATTCATCTGTCACTATCTGCTACAAATGCAACAAAAGCTATTTAGATGCTTAACTTTATATTTGCAATGCAGTTAGGTTCCGTTCCAGTGCCTAGTGTCAAACTGGGAACGTAGGCTTGCAGAGGCAATCCTCCTCCTAACAACAGGCATATGCAACCCCATCACATGAGAGGGAAACTAGAGGATGCTTATGTTACAGGATCAGACCACCTCTGACTGTCCTCTTTCCCCTTGTATAAGCTGACACAGATATCAGGCCTTTCAGCTACCCCCTGCAGAAGCCCCTGGTTTCCAGCTCCTCCCCTTGAACAGCAGGACTATACCAGATGTGTTACCAAGGCCACCTGCACTCCTTCAGTGGAAAGGGCTAGATTTTTTCCTAGCAGTAAAACACTATTTTTAATTCTGGATTCGCATCATATTTATTTTTTTTCCTTATTACCCTACTGACATGTTAACCACTAGCCTGGAAAGCTGATCAGCATGCAGGCCTTGTGAGCTCTATGAAAATATCCCAATTTACATTTTCAATTGTATCGTTCTGCTGCTTTTCAGTGCTGCATGTAATCTGAGCTGGTGAATGCTGCAGAGGCACATTATGAGGTCAGGGTAAAAACATCCTTCCAAACATTAACAAAGATATGGAACCTGATGGGCATTCCTCAGTCAGGCAAAACTCACACTTGTTTTGTCAGAGCAAAGACGGAGGGATGGATAGATTATTTTGCGAGTTCAATGGGGCAACTCAAAGATAGAAATTTACATGGGTCCATCTTTGCAGGAGCAGTCTTACTTATAGCAATAGTGGGTACAAAATGTCAGACAGAAATGTGATTTTCAGTTTGAACAGTTTCTCTTTAGCATACCCATCCAACCAACTGCAAGGTAGGAGAAATTGACTTCTGTAAATGATATTGGGTACTGGCAATGCTAATTTTCCCACACTGCCTTGCTTGGTTTGCTTCATTTATGACACGAGGAGTCCATCTATATGAATAAAGGGGTAATTTAGTCATCAGTCTTGACCTCTGCTGAGATTGCCAACAATGAGATGATAGGATTTTCTTGTCAATTTACCTGTCCTTTAGGTACCAAAGAGATACATTCCAAACTATTATATAATAATGACAAGAGATCCAGAATCCAACAATAATAATAGTAAGAGATACAGGGCCATGAAAATAACCTTGTATTGCAATTAAATGCACAGTTATGAAGGCTTACTTTCAAAACAATCTCTGAAGTATTTCTACCCAGTGATGAAGTTAGTCTCACATACCCCTCTGATTTGTGCTTTAAACCTTCTCCCAGGATTAAAATGATTTGTAATCTTCACGGAGCATCTGACAGAAAAAATTATCATTCCCACAGTAATTGTTCATGTGCATGTCACAGAAGAATGGAATTTTCTGATAGTCGTCTCATTCCATGGAAGAAATAAATCCAGTTCTTTTAAACTAGGTTTTCTTTGTATTACTGGTTTTAATAAACTAAAGAAAGGGAAAGAAATCTTTTTTTTCTTTATTGTCCTTATGGAAGAGAAAAGGGAACCATTATACTACTGGGGAATATTAATATAGTTGGTATAGAAAAAAAATCCTTCTTCCAAGCTTGAAAAAATACTGATGGTAGCATACATGTAGGAATACAATTATGGTAGCTAAAATGAAGATAGAAAATAACTTAATTCAGCCATCTATCACTGTCTAGGGATCCTGTTACACATTGTTTTTTTTCATAGCTACTTATGAGTTTTCCTTAGTTATGGGAACGAAACCCATTGTACGGTTAGCAACTGCCGCGGCAGCATCTTTTTCATGTTTGAGTGGCCAGGAGGGTGAGTCTTTGGCTTTCAGATGGGAGTCTTTCGCGGTCATCCGTGCCGTTGTTACCTCAAGATTAGATTACTACAATATGCTCTGTGTGCGGCTACATTCTAAATATATTTGGAAATGGAGCTGGTGCAGAATTTGATCACCAGCTTTTTAAGCTGTGTGTCTGTAAGCATATTACACCAGCGTTCTGTGATCTGTATTGGCTACCTGTTGGTTTCCAGGTTGAATTTAATTTGTTGGTTTTGACCTAGAAGACTCTAAATAGCCACCGATCTGTTGTGAGACTGCCGCTCTCTCATTGCCAGTCAGGTAATGTTGCAGTCAGCAAAGATGCTGCTAGCAGGACATTCTCTATTAGGGCCTCTCAGGTATGGAACTAGTCCCCTCTTGGTCCAAAATACTGCAGATTTGACCCTCCAAGGAATGCTCCAAGAACTTTGTATCCCCCCCTAGTTTTTGGAGAGTAGGAAGAATTCTGAGGGTGTCTGGTTATTGATGGGAGAATAGGGTAATTTATTTTTTGTCTTTCTTTTTTCTTGTTAGGAGGGTTAGACTGGCTTGTTGGAGTTATAGCAATGCTGGATTTGTTATAATAATTGCATTTGTTACAGTTGTCAAATACATATAAAACTATGGCTGGGTGGTTCTTTTATCTTTATAAAATATATTTAAACTGATAAAAAACCAAACAACCCTTTCAAATCTGCTCATATAGACTTTTTATCTTCTGATGGATGCACAATTTTTCCCTCTGGTTTATGGTGGAGCCACATTGAAGGTAGAACAGACTTATATTGTTGAAGATTATTTTGCTTCCATTGCAGTTTGGTAATGTAGCTTGATCTTGCTTTCCCTGCCCCCAACGATTGATGCAACTTGGACTTCATATGGGTGTCTTACTGGTGCCTATAGTGTAACCCACAGACCTCCTGGGTGTGGTGCTCTGTCCAATCTAGTGGCACTTAAATGAGACCACTCAGAAACCACTTAGAGAGAGATAAAATGAGTCTGTTCTACAGCCTTAGCTAAGAGCCAGTTGGCTTTTAGCTCATGCAGTAGAGGCTCATGCACTAAGCTCCGGAGGTCTCAGGTTCGATCCTGACAACTGGGGTCTGTTATTGTTAGAATAGCAACAGGTTCAAATCCTTACAGAATTTAATCAGTCCTTCATTCTTCCAAAGTAGATTAATTAATTTCCAAACACTGTTGTGAGCCTTGGAGATTAGATTTTAAAAACAAGATCCTGTCTGCTGTGCACAGACATTAAAGATCCCATGATACTTTTTGTAAGACCCTGTGTAAGGAGTGTACTTTAAAAGTCAATGTGTTATATAAAAGTGTGGTTTGTATCTCTGTGCCTTGTCTCCAAGCAATTGAAGAGATAGTTAGCATTCAGGGGTATACTTAAGAGATCAGGCTGTGGGAAAGCAATGTTGCAATAGTAAATTACAACCTAAAGAGTCAGCTGATGAGTCAGTTTTAGGCCCCAATTTTCAAAAGTGCATTCACCCTTTTGTGCATACCTGACGTGGTGGGTGTGAAGTTGGGCACATGCAAAAACGTGCAGGCAAATTTCAAATGTGGGCCTAAAACTAGCTGATCGCTACTGTTGATCTTAATGCAGAAAAGAATCAGCTTCGGAAGAAAATGAGGACATTTCATCCTCCAGAGTTGAAAACCCTTAACGGAAAACGGGATGGAGGTGTGGAGGTGTAAAGCTAGCTTGGGGCTAGATCTGAGCTGTGCATGGAGGAGGTATTTAGGTTCCACTAACTACTGTAGACTATTGTTACACAAAAATACCTCTATTAAAGTGTCCCTTGTTTTGCATGACTAGGGTTCTTTTTTGGGGGGAGGGGAGGTTGTTGTTTGTTAAGCCTACCACCTAAACCAAATTGGATGTTTTTCCCTCTTTTGAGTACTGTGGTTTGTAAAACAGCAAATATCAGATATTAAAGCATTTCAGAATGCTTTCTTAGGCATAAGCCACTTAAATGCTGAGCTTCCTGAGTATGCCTTACGTCTTTCACAGACTTCCTCCTGTGCCCTAAATTGATATCATTTGTCCACATTGTTTTGATTGTTCTACCATGCTGTTCTCTCAGGGCTAGATTATCACAGCCCTTTCTTGGCTGCATAGGGTAGTTACAAGACCCCCTTACTACCCTGCTCAGATTGCAACTTTGGCTGTGGGTGGTATAGGAGAGACCAGGGCCGTAGCAACAAAGAATGTGGCCCCCTCCGAACGGTGGCCCCCTCCGAACATTTGTCCAGGCGGGGCCCCTTACAATGCAGAAACTGGAATGCGGTATTATTTTGCCACTTTTAGGGGCCCCCTTCCTTGCGGGGCCCCCTCCAGTCGGAGGGTACGGAGGGCGCTCGCTACGCCGCTGGGAGAGACTAATTGCCCAGTATGGTCACCTGTGAGCAACTGGGAGTAGAGGGAGTTGAGAGGAGCAGGAATGAGGAGGAACTCTGGCTCCTCCCTCTATTTGACAGTTACAATAGCTGGCTAAGTGCATGGTGCATGTGAAATAAATTGATTCATGAAAAGCACTTAGATCAAGGGGTGAGCTGATGAATAGCTGGACTCTGAAGTACAAGTCCTTCTCTGGTTTTCTCCTGGACTGGCTCTGCTACAGACTAGGCAGATTTTAATGTCACGGTCTAGCTGTTAGGCAGTTGAGAGATGACTGTAGCACATACAATGGAGGTATTAAGAGAACCATACAGCGGGATGTTATAATGATGGGTAGCCGTCAACAGTTTCCCCGGTAGTAGAAAAGAAAAGAATTTATATTTTTCACCTCCACTTTATCTTCTGTCTAACCTGTTACATGCACTAATTGTACATGCATCCCTTTAGTGATTCTGCCAGCGTTCATTGCCATACTGTCATACTTCGTTATTTCTTCCTTCAGAGCTCAACGTCAAAACTCATATTTAATTCACACTCTATAAGTCAAGTGAAGATGGCCCATTTCCCTCTTCTTGTCATGTGCACATAACCATATAGGAAGCACAATCACAATCAACCTATGGAACTACTTGCCAGAGGATGTTGTGAAGGCCAAGACTAAAACAGGGTTAAAAAAAGAACTAGATAAGATCATGGAGGATAGGTCCATCAATGGCTATTAGCCAGGATGGGCAGGGATGGTGTCCCTAGCCTCCATTTGCCAAAAGCTGGGAATGGGCTACAGGGGATGGATCACTTGATGAATACCTATTCCGTTCATTCCCTCTGGAGCACCTAGCATTGGCCACTGTCAGAAGACAGGATACTGGGCTAGATGGACCTTTGGTCTGACCCAGTATGGCTGTTCTTATATTCTTAACTGACAATGATTAGCACCTCTGCTGGCAGTTGCAACAAGGCCGCCAAGCATTGAATATATTAATGTGGACACTTTCTGCCATAGAGGTGATACCTCCAGGTTAAAAGATGAGTAGAGCCCTGCAGATCTGCAGATATCTGCTTTATATGTTTCCGGATAGCGGATGGATGCAGATCCAAATTCTATATCTAGAGCCCAGCAAATCTGCAGATATCCACTTTACATCAGCAGATCATGTTTGTGGCTCATGGATACAAATTTGATATCCATGCAGGGCTCTAAAGATGAGCCATATTTATAGGGTAGTGCGGGGAAGATTTCACCAATGACACCTGTGATCTCTCTGTTCTGTATTGTTATTATGATTATTTATTTGGATAGGGCAGCTCCTAGCAATATTATTAACTGCTCAATATTGTCCAATATATTGTTACATTTTGGTATTGTTAACATATTAATATTAATAATGTATTGATATATTTTTATTTAGTCATTGTGTTCCCCTCAAACTACAATACAAGAGCACCCATCCAATGCAAAACCATTGTAAAACTACACTAATAAATAAATAGACCCACTAGATCAAAGGACCTAGTGACAACATAAATGGAGCAAAAACTAATTGGTTTCCCCACGCAACCCCCAACAGAGCTCGCACCACCACTGACCAGCCCTGTCCAACACCCAATTCTCTTGGGCAAGGGAGAAAAGGTGTATCTCACAGCACGCCCTGAAAGCTAACAATCTTTCACTCAATGGGCCTGAGGAAGAAATAAGTTACAAAGGCCTGGGACTATGCAGAGTGTTTAGTTTCCATCACCACCAAGATGGCATGTTTCAAAATGTTATACCTGCTTTAAAAATAATTGACCAGATCATCTACATTTCCTTTGAGGGGGAGCCCTGCATTTGCTTTGAGGACTTCTCTTTTTCTACCAGTCTGTCGGTTACCTTTTCCCAGGTACTTACTTTCTTTCTTGAAGGGTGTTCTGGCACTCTAATAGTATTAGTCTCCCTTTATAGACCAATTAGCATTATTTTGAAATATTGCATTTCGGCAGTGAATCCATCCAAAAGATACGCATTCATGAGACCGCATTCATCATGTTAACTGAGTTAAGAGAAATCACAGCAAGGCGATGATGAATGTCGTTGGTGAAAGACTCCAGAGTTGGAACAACTTAATTGTGAGGACAATTCAATTTCAGGTCCTGACTGCCTGGGCAGCCAAGTTAATTTAAAAGAAAAAAAGAAACAATGTTTCCTGGGCAGGTAGTCGATGAAATAAGAACTTACTGTACGCTGGAGTTTGTCTGTATCTTTTATAAGCCCATCATCACTCCCTCCTCCTCCTCCTCTCTATTTCTCTCTCTGTGTCTAGACCCCTGAAGAGTTAGAGGATGATTCAGACTTTGAACAAGAAGATTATGATGTTCGCAGCCGAACGAGTGTTCAGACTGAGGATGACCAGCTTATTGCTGGGCAGAGTGCAAGGGTGAGTATAAAATCCATGTACCCCATCAACTCCGTATACAGCTCCAGAGGAAAAGGTATGCCTCTGAAAGCTAATTGGGCGATTTAAAATTTTTGGGTTCACTTCAGCAAGGAGGCTGGCAATTTTGGTTTTCAGGTATAGATATTTATTCATGTCTTTTCGCTTGCGGTACATTTGGACCAAGTTTATTATATGATTTTTTCAGGGTTATGGGATGCCTTGTATCAGTTGTTTGCTCAAGCTAGAACTATAGCAAAAGGCCTTGCACATTTGGAAGGTACTGTAGCTAAGAGTATTCAGGAAATTTAAAACAAAGAAACAAACCAACCTTAAGGGCATAATGTGCACTATCTGAAGATATCTTACATTTGTCATGGTTCTCGGTGTGCTGACGTGTCTAGGAAAGCTGATGAAGGGGCTGAGTAGTCTCTGTAATCTAATTGTAATTGAAGATATTTGTTACTGAGTCAATGTAATTTTACCAGCATAATTATATCATGATAAACTGGAGACATTGTGATTTGTGACCTCAGCTGATGCACGGCGATTGCAAATGAAGCGGACAAGTGCTTCAGGGGTCAGAGATGCTGGAGAAATGAAGTTGGTTGACCCTCAGGATTATTCCATCCTCTGATTAATGTTTACCTTTTGCTAAGTAGGCTGCTCAGTTCAGATAAGAAATCAAGTGAATGCTGTGTTGTTAACACACCACATGAACATGTATTTGACTGGAAAGAGAGTTTAAAACCCTCCCTTTTTTTAACCTGGTACAGAAGCAGTGGAGAGAGATTGTGGAGAACTGGAAAATATCTGTTTTATTTTTATGACTATTGTGCATGCCTCTATATATTTGTTTATGGTGGGTTACTTACTCTTCAGATGGATAAAAAGAGAGCTATTGGGGAACCAAACTGGAAACACACTAGCTTAGATGGGGAGCATCCCCCCAAACACCAAAACACCATAGCCAGGTTGACTACAACAACTTCTTGGTCCCAACCCTGCTTAGCTGTTTGCCAAAGCTGAGAATCTGCAGAGCAAAAGATGTTGAAAGGAAGGGGGAAGCTCTCAGCTGCTGCAGGCTGACACAGACTGAAGGAGGAGCAGGGTCTGCAGCAAGCAGGCTGTAACTTGGTCCCCAACAGAACAGAGGCACTGAGGTTATGTCATGACTACCTTGAAGGGAATGCCAAATGTAGGTAAAATAGTCCACACACAGAGCTCTTTGTTGTTTTATATCCATGTCTCAGTGCTGTGAACTTTTTGGCAAATAAATCTTACTTTAAAAAAAAAATTGCTTCTGGGTCACTGCATGCCATTGCTGCCCACAGGGTCCTGGCAGGTGCCAAACCCATTAGGCCAAACCCGTTAGGCCTGGTTGGTAACCAGGAAGTTTGGATCCCAGAGACCCTGTCAGAGAGTGGTCAGATCACAGGAGAGGTAGAGGAACCGGCCTGTCACTTGAAAGGGAGCACTTAGGGGACTGGCAAAGGGTCTCAGAAGAGGCAGCCTGCCCAGGAACCATGGCAGATATATCGGAGGGGTTTTTATGGTTTAAAGAGTGTAATATAATGTTTAATACATGCAGAAAGACTGAGTGCCGAAATAAACTAAAGTGTAAAAAGTTTCCTGGTGCTCTTCAGTTGATTCCGATTCTGTCCTTATTTCTTTCATGGCTAAACCTGGGGCAGTGAGATCATGCTGCTCTTTCAGTAATTAAAATTAGAATTAAAAAAATAGATTTAGATGAAGAGAAATAGGGACAGTCACAGCATCTTTATTAAGGGCCTAATCCAGCTAGCAGCTGAGTAATCTCAAATCCTTCAGACTTGCATCTGAAGAAGTGAGGTTCTTACCCACGAAAGCTTATGCTCCCAATACTTCTGTTAGTCTTAAAGGTGCCACAAGTACTCCTGTTCTTCTTTTTGCGGATACAGACTAACACGGCTGCTACTCTGAAACCTGTCAAATCCTATTGTGGTTATTATTGTGGTTGTCAATTGTGGTAGGTGCTGGACAAAAATATAACAGACAGTCACTGCCCCAAAGGGTTTACAATCTAAGTATAAGACAAGAACCAATGGGTGGATACAGCAGCATCAGAAGGAAGACAGGGTGAAAATGAGATGATTATGATCAGTGTGATAAGCCACAAAAGCCACTGTGTTGAGTGACCCCTTGAGCTGAAGCTACTCAGCGAGGAGCTCCGGAGGCTCCTGAGATGTAGGGGGGCCACTGGTGCCCGAACAGTGGCCCCATCCCCCAGCTCCGCCTCTTTCCCTGAGGCCCCATCCCCAGTCCCCTGAGGCTCTGCCCTCGTTTTGCCTCTTCCCGAGGCCCCGCCCCCTCTTTGCTTCTTCCCCCGAGGCCCCACCCCCACTCTGCCTCTTCCCTCGAGGTCCCGCTCGCTCCTGTCTGCCCCCTCCCACCCCCGTCACTCACCCTTAACGCAGGATAATAGTGATGGGGCAATGGCCCCCTGGACCCTCCTGTTCCAGCACCCCTGTACTCAGCCTCTTGGAGGATCGTGCCATACAGGACTCCTTGTTGGAGAAAAGCTAGTTTTTTAGTTAGAGGCTATAATAGATTTGTATAATATGCCTACTTCATAAACTCTATTAGCATTTCAATGGAAAGGCTTGGTGTCTGTCTTTGACGGGAGATAAAACTTGAATATACAAGCTGCATTTGCTGCTGGGTCTGGCTCCTTAGAAATGCATCAGCAACTGAAACAGAGTCATTAAGACATACTGGACCAGTACTAGGAAAATCAGGTTAGACTGTCCACAAAGACAGGAACCAAACATAAGTAATACAGATTGGCCTTCTTAGCTTTCTGATCATACAGAACTTTATTTTCACATCCCATTAGTTACAATGAATTCATCAGTTCTAGAGTGTTTAGAGGGGGCAGGGGGTGGGGGGAGAAAGAGAGAGAGTTTAACTTGCACTGCATTTCTCTGTGGAAAGACTAATGTGTTAACATTTGAAACCGCTGAGTTACATTGATAAGGCCTAATTAAAACTCATGTGTTGAATTTTAATATGATTAACTTGCAAATTTCTCATTTTCTGATCTACTGTTTATAGATAACCTTTTTTAATTCCAGTTTTGGAAAAGGTCAATTATGAATTTTTAAAAGCCAAGAGCATTTTAAGGATATGTAGAGAAAGGCTTCAGCTGATTGAAAGTGACATAAACAAGAAAAAATGTAATGACACTTAAATGTGTCACACCCCATTAAATGCATAATGCGGTCTTCAGAACCCCGAAGCCAAATAGTATCTCATCTTGAGAATCATTGTTGGAAGTGTCCATTTGATCTTCAAAAGTAACTTTCATAATTTTGCCATTTTTTTTGGTAATTTTCCTTTTTCTTTGTTAATAGTCAAGGCAAATTAGAATCAACCTATTTAGTGCCATTTTGCATATCATCCAAGAACAAATTAAACCACTAAATGTTATTGAAAGGTACGTTCATTCAGTTCATTTTAAACATATTCCCTTGCATGTCATGGCTTATTTCAACCTCAAGTTAAGTAGAAAGCCAGGGTGTTTCTGACTGACAGTGAGGTATGAGAGAGGTGGAGGTGTTTGAAGCTTAGCCAAACTACGGACTGCCTCTTAGTGTGTATTTCCTTCATTTTTGATCTGTCTAAAGTTTCAGATATAATAAAAAAATCCTGTCTTTTAGTTGGATTGTAGTGGCTTCTGCCCACTCTCTTCAGTCTACAATGTCATAGATGTACAGTCTTTAAACTTGCAAAGATTTTATAAGGACTATAAAAGTCCCTTGTTTTACAAGAATATGCTGTAGTTACTCTTGAAATAGCTGATATAGTGAAAACAAAATTTGGACCAGGTTATTAAATGTATAGGCTTTAATTTAAAAAAATGTTTAATAGTGTGAATGCTCTGACAGTGAAATCAGTACTAAAGACCAACTCTAATAGGCCACCCCTGTTTTAAGAGACCATTCTGAAGCACACCTGTGAGGTTTCCAGTTCAATTTTGCTTGTCATGTGGTTATGCTATAACTTATACTAAACAATCTGGTCCACTTAAGACAACTGGACTCATTTATGGCAGATTTCACTGTAGCTGGGGCCACATCCTGTGCTCGCATAAATCAGTGTAATCTGTGAGTAGAGCTATGTTGATTTACACCAGGTGAGGGTCTGGCACTATACACAGTAAGCTTTGATTGGTTTCTGCTATTCTGTATGGAGTCCCTGTGAGTTTTTGTGTTCAGTGTGAAATTATAACAGTGATCTTTTTCTGAAGAAACTATCTCTACCATTTGGCTTTACAGCTTTCAGAATTAAAATCCTATCCTAAAAAGTGCTGAGTGCTAGCTGTGATGGATTTAACATCATCAACTCCCTCTGAAGATATTGGAAGTTGTGGGTGCTCAACCCCTTGCCAGATTAGACCCTTAGAAACTAAAATGGTTTCTAGCTCTCTTTTTGATGGGCAACTACTCTACATTTTATCCAGGCTATCATGGCTCAACTGCCTCAGGAGGAGAAGGCTAAGATTGCGGAGCAGGTAGAGATATTCCACCAAGAAAAGAGCAAACTGGACGCTGAGGTAGCCAAATGGGATGACAGTGGTAATGACATCATTGTGTTGGCAAAGCAGATGTGCATGATTATGATGGAAATGACGGACTTTACTAGGTAAGCGCAAAATAATTTGTACTGAGTGCTTACTCTGGAACCCTGCATCATTTCTTTATTATGGCATTTAAGGAACATTGAGTGTATTTACAATGTTTAGGTAATGTGTCTATAACAATTCTAATATTGCTGGTTCTATACCCGTTGCCCTGTGTATTTACCTTTTAACACAAAGGAGATCTTCAATATTGTTTAAACACTGTTCAGCATTAAGACACTGATTCAGCAAAGTACTTAAGCACAAGAGCAATTCCATCCTGATTCAGCAAAGCTCCTAACCACGGGGTTAGCTTTTGGGGGGGGAGGGATAGCTCTGTGGTTTGAGCATTGGCTTGCTAACCCCAGGGTTGTGAGCTCAATCCTTGAGGGGTCCATTTAGGAATCTGGGGCAAAAAAAAAAAAATCTGTCAGGGACAGTAGCTGGTCCTGCTAGTGAAGGCAGGGGTCTGGACTCAATGACCTTTCAAGTCCCTTCCAGTTCTATTTTCCAACAGGGGCGGGATAGCATAGCAGTTTGAGCATTGGCCTGCTAAACCCAGGGTTGTGAGTTCAATCCTTGAGGTGGCCATTTCAGGAAGTGCGGTAAAAATCTGTCTGGAGATTGGTCCTGCTTTGAGCAGAGGGTTGGACTAGATGACCTCCTTAGGTCTCTTCCAACCCTGATATTCTATGAATCACATGAGTAGGTCCAGTGAAATCAGTTGCAGAGGTGCTTCCTACCAACAAGCCAGAACATCAAACAAACAGTTTTATATTTGAGACTCTTTAGTGACTTGTTGGTTGGTTTGGGGGGACATAAAGCCAGCTTACTGACATGCCCAAATAATTCCTTTCACCTGGTTATTTTCAACAGTTCACCATTTAAGATTAAACGTGTACGTTTTTTTGTTTTTCAGCAGAAGTAGTGCAGCAAGGATAATGTGTGACCTGACAGGCCCTCAAATGACCTTTTGTCTAGCAAGAGTCAAAATGCACAAGTCTTGCTGAACATTGCAATGAATGTCAATCAAAAATAATGGCAGAAAATCCACTGAACTCATTCTCATGACTGAATTTCTTTAAACAAGCAGCCCTTGATTTAATCCAGAAGTAACTTTCATCAGGATTTGTCAATAACAATGACTTTTTTCCTTGCTATAATATTTTGTTCTAATTACAGTGCATCAAAAGGCTATTAATTAATGTTATCATTTAAACAAAATCAATTTTGTTTATATCCAGCCACATTGTTAATCAGACCAGAGGGACCATTTTACAAGAGATTAAATGCACCCTCTTAAAGTTAGAGTAATCTATGCAGTGCTACAATCCCTGCTGTTTTGGGGAGTGAATGACCAAAAAATCCTCTCCAAAGCTCATGTTTTGGATGTGTTTTGCCACACTTCTGCAAGACAAAAAACAAACAACCAAGCAAACAAAAAACCCAAACCCACTGAGGCCTTATTCTTCCTTCCTGCACTTTATAGGGAAAAAGTCATGTAGGGATCTTTCTCTAGAGAACTGAGTTTCTCTTCTCCCTACAATATGTCTACCCCCCAGCCCATCTTTCATGGGAAACGAAATCCCCCTATACCCTTCATGAGAGGGACATTAAAACAAAATCTCTCTTTGGTCTGGATCTCTCACCTCTCTTTCCTGAAGCAGAATGAAAATTTCCCCATGCCTTGCCATCAGTTCTGGGGAGGGAGAGGTGATGATCTAATAACTTCTTCAGGGGACCAGAGTACAAAGGTTTCTCTATCGCACACTGCATACATTTTAATACCTTAATCTTCCAACTGAAAGGTTGGTAATTGGATGTTTCTAACATCAAAAGATGAGAAATAATGTGAAAATGAGAGTAAAATCACTGTCATGTTTGGAGTAAATTAAAAGAAAGTCTAAGTGGACCTTAGTGCCTCTGTTTACCCCAGATGTTACTCCTTTAACATCTTCCACTAAAAAACAAACAAACAACAAACGCTTTGCTTCTCCTTTGCCTACGGTGACTTCCGTGGTCTTAAAATGGAATAACTCCCAAATAGGGTGACCAGATGTCCAGATTTAGAGGGACAGTCCCGATTTTTGGGTCTTTTTCTTATATAGGCTCCTATTACCCCCCACCCCCATCCCGATTTTTCACATTTGCTGTCTGGTCACCCTACTCCCAAATGTCTGGAGCGGTCTACAACCAGATGTGCTGATCTCTTCATATAATTGACATAAAACCATAGGCGGTCACTGTTAAGGTGACTGGGACTCAGGACCAGCGTACAATTCCTGGTTCTGCCTGTGGTTTGCTGGGTGACCTAGGGCAAGTCATTTCCCCTCCTGCACCTCAGTTTCACCACGTATAAAATGGGAATAATGATGTGGACCTCCTTTGTAAAGCACGTTGGGATGTGCGGGTGAAAATCACTATAAAAGAATTAGGTGGTATCATTATTTATAAGAACTTGGGTCTTTTACATCATCTTACAAATATCAAGAGAGACAGATTAGTAGTAAAGTTTAAAAAAAATCAAGCAAAAAAATTTAAGCACAACTGAATTATGCCTCAGGTAGTTTAGCAGCTTTATGACAGAAATCTAAGAGAAGAGATTTCCTAATGTGACATTTCTGCACTAGACTTGGCAGACTTGGTGTTAAGCACTGGTTGGGGAATAACAGAAATTTTAAAAAGTTTTGTATTCCTGCAGGGACATTTTCCTAATGAGCACTTAAAAATGCACATACTATTAAACATAGTTCATGTGCTTGAAGGCACCATCAAATTAAACTGCTAGCGAGGCATTTTGTATGTGAAAGGAAATATAGCAGACCCGTTCCTTAATCAAGCTATCGTATAATTAGTAGTTAAGTCCAAGGTGAAGTTGCAGTAAATTAGGAAGGCATTCATAAAATAAATAATCATACACTGAGTTAGGACACTGCAACTGTGACATGATTTAATTAGACTGTAGTATATCCATATTGTTCTTTCCAGAGGTAAAGGACCATTGAAGAATACATCTGATGTCATTAATGCTGCCAAGAAGATTGCAGAAGCAGGCTCTAGAATGGACAAATTGGCACGAGCTGTAGCTGATCAGGTAATGATCCAAACAAATAAATATATAATATGAATCAGTCAATCAGTGGCATTTTGTATGGACAGTACAAATTATCTGTGTGGTTTAAGGACCTTCTAGAGAAAGTCTCTACTAGTGCTGTGACCTAGTGACTGAAGAGAGGCTGTTTGTTCAGCACCAGTTAGTTTGGTAAGATCACTGTCGGTTGAATGAAGCCGACACTGCAGCCCTTTAATTCACTGGTTCAGAAATCAAACCACCTAAATATTAATAGCATCAGCTACCATAGATAAAAACACCAAGGTGAGCTGAGATCCTCCAGCCTCCTCGTTGTTTTCTTTACTTAAAAGGGGATTACGCACACCCTTCTGTATTTGATGCATGTATCTTTCACACTATGGGAAATCTGTAAACTAGTCTAAGAACCCCAGAAGGTACAACAGTCCCATGTCTTCATCTGGAACAAATGAATGCTGGCTACAGATGATGATTGCAGTAGAATGTGGATGGCTAAAAGCAATAAAAAGGTCACACTCTTTGTTGCTTCAGTAGGCCAAGCACATTGCACATGCCAGGGCTCCTTGCATTTCTCTATTCTCCCCTCCCCCTGACTCCCTGTGCACCCCACTCCCACCCCCCTCTATTTTAGGGATCCCATGCAACCCCACCCCTACCCCTTCCTCATGCCAGGGATTCTGTGTGCCCTCTGTTCCCCTTTTTGCCACATTCCAGGAGCTCAGTGTTCACTCCAGGTCTTTATCCCTCATTCCACTGTCCCCAGTTCTCCCTCAGTGCCAGGAAATCAATGTTTCCCCTCATTCACTCCTTCCTCACTATACCCCCCTTATCCAACATGGCAGTGGTTCCATGTCCCTCCCCATCCCCCATCCACCATATGTCAGGGGTTCTTGTGTCCCCCATGTCCAACCCCATACCATTGTCCCCTATTTTCCAGCCATGCCATGGCACTATATGTGCCCCCGTGGCTCATGGCCCCCATTCACTTCATACTGGGACCCCCATTTTAGGGGCTCTTTGTGTGCCCCCTTTCTCACGCCGTTCTCTTTACTTTTCTGTCTGTCTGGGAGATAAGTCATTCAGGATGTCAACTTTTTAAACTGTATTGGGTGAAGCTGAGATAGGAAGTATTGGTATGTTGGCTGCCAGAAACCAGTTCTTTGCTTTATTGACAATTACAGAGGTGGTCGACACTGCTGTGCCTGCTAACCAGATGCAGAGGCCTTTGTGAGTTGCCCATTAGCCCCTTCCAGTTTTCCAAATTTCACCAAAACCAATGAGTTCCGTCCACTGATACCTAGACAATTCTCTGAAAATTTGGAATGGATGAGATGTGGCATTCAAAAATGATTCCATTACAGACAGACAGAAAGACAGAGAAATGCCCCCAAGGGAAGAAGGACCTGGATCATCCACTCCCATGGAAAACCCATAGGAGGGGGTTGTAGGTGAGGAGGATATCCTCACAGATACCCTCCCTAATCACCCCCCTCCAAACCTGCAGCTGTGACCTCTAGCCATCCTTCTCTTCCCCTTAAAATGGGAGAAAGTCTGCTGGTCGCAGGAATTCTAACGTATCCATGGTGTGTGGGAATGGCATTAGTTTCATCCTGCAAGATAGTTGTGCACAGAGATGCAGCTTTTTCCTATAATCCCCAAAAGTTTGGCAATGTGAACTGTTCCACCCAATTGACCCACTTCCCCCTCTTGAGCCCACTCCTGTTGGGCACATCCTAGGAAGGAGAAATCCATCCCTGTGTTAATGTAATTCCCACTGTTGAAAAAGCTATAAACATGCTCGTTAATGATCTTGCAGTTTGCACTCTGGTGTTGTGAGAGGTGGGAGAGTTTAAAGAAATAAATGTCAGGTACATAACACACGCAGCTTGTTTAGAGAATATTGGTTTCAGTCATGTCTTTGATCTACATTCCTTCAGAAGGATGTAAAATACAAAGTTTAACTTTTTTTTTTTAAATCAATATGAGAGTTAGAGATCGCTTTTAATCCCTTGGCCGTGGTGATATTTTACAGAACTTTTGAGACATACATGGAGTATAAACTTTTTATTGACTGTTGCATTTTTAATTACTGTTCCAATGATAGACAGCTTGCATCTTAATTTGATTCAAGGTACTTGTATGTAAAGCTTTGTCAGCTCTCTAGAGGTTTCGTTTTAAAGTTCATTTCTTTCAGCTCATAGGCCTCACGAGCAGGATAAATATTACTGTATTGAATTGTCACAAGTAGGAAAAAAAGGTCTCTTAGGAATGCACTCTTGAAAGATATTGCAACTGCGTGAGAGAAAGACGTTATGGCATTATCATAAGTACAGAACAGATTAAACGGCCTAACGGCCCCAAAGTACTCCCAGCTCTTTTTTGTTTGTTAGACTTAAAGACAGAGGCGCAAGCAAAGTGAATGCTTTCGGAGTTAGGGGCCACAGTGTGTGTATGGAACCAGTGCTGTTCTTTTACATCTAAGAGCACTATAAACATTTTTCCCTTGTGCCTTATTTGTCATTGCTATTACAACCATTTAGACAGATGTTGTGAGGCCATTGGGCTGTGAGTGCGTAATCTGATCATGTTTAGTTTAGGTGCCATGTGGTGGTTTTAGTCTTCAAAATGGAAAATTGAATGTAGCATTTTAATGACCTAAAGAAACTAGTTCAAAAGACTCTGAATCTTTGATCTCCATAGTCAAACAATATTGAAAGGCGGACTTTGTTGTGTAGCTCTGACAAGTGTTTATTGGAGACGTGCTCTTTGGAAGGGGATCTTTTAACTCTGTTTCATTTGTGTGAATTATACAGGCCTGTGCTCAGGAGGCAAGTCTAGGAATATTAACTATGGGTGCTGTTTATTATGCTGTTGATTATTGTTGGGGATGCTGCAGTTCCTTGTAAGAGTTTATTTCAATGGACTATAAATGAGTTGTGCTCGGACCATGTCTGGTTATATTGATTATGAAACCTTCACAGCTTCTACTTAGTTTGACCTCGTGTAATTTTTATCTGCACACTTTTGTCATGAGGAATATGTCAAAATGGTACAGTACTTTAGATGGCCTACCGGTAGTAGTGAGAAGTATTGCTTAGAAAGGCATGGAGACCAGATTATTTCATTTCCTTCTTATTAAGGGCCGCAAGCCTGAAAGCGTCTTCTATAATATGTCACATATATTACTATAAATAATTTCCTTCCAGTATAGATGGACTAGTATATTATGCATCAGTAGACTCCTATGTTTATTACAAACTGAGTGATAAACTAATCTATGTAGATGTTTTCTCAGGGCGTTTTCTTTAAGTTCATCAGGTAAGTGCCAAAAAGAGATTATTTTTGTACATGCTATCTTCACATTTTAATTCATGAGGGTCAAGCTATAGATGAGGTACAGAATATTTTTCAGCTCTCGTCAAATTCCACGCTAAAGGGTTAAGTGATATGGATGAATCTAATATGGTGTCAACACTGCTCCTATTTCCTTGGATTGCCTTTGTATAATGAACATATAAACTGAGCTAGAGCTAATCAAGTTTGCATATTTTTTCCCCTTGCAGTGCCCTGATTCAGCTTGCAAGCAGGATCTGTTAGCGTATCTACAGCGCATTGCCCTCTATTGCCACCAGCTCAATATCTGCAGCAAGGTGAAGGCAGAAGTGCAGAATCTTGGAGGAGAACTTATTGTATCAGGGGTAAGCTGGTATTTGTATTTAGCAGTTTACGTATCCCATAGTCGCACTTGCCAGGGAGCCTTTTCGGTGACAGGAATGTAAAAGACAAAAAAATAATGATTCATAAGCAAGCTTCTTAAAATGTTATCTCCATTATTCCAGACCTTACAATAACTTGTGGAGAGCAATTTGATTTTCCAATTACCCTTTGTTTATACTAACCTTGTAAAATCTTCATTCCTCCAAAAGAAAGGTAATTTCATAGTCTAGAAACTCATTGCCAAGCTGTGAATATTATAATTATTTGGAGCTTTTGTTTATTTGCTTATTGTAAATCTACTTTCCTTTGTTAGTATTGGTAATTTCCCTCCTCTGAGCAGGAGCCAGCACTGCTCTGTGTGGAGTGCATATTGTTAAGATGGTAATATCTAGCCAGATTTCATTCACTCAGGTTCCAATGCATACTAGGTTTAGCAAAAACTCTGGAAGGCTAGCAAAATATGTTACTTTTTGTGTGCTGTTTCCCAAATACAGTTGCCAAACCTAAAATTTACATATTCTAATTCCTTCCATTTGCTTGTTTCAGTAATTTTTTTTAATGAAAATGCAAATGTTTTATCCACAATCACCAGGCATTTGTTGTCCAAATTAGAAATGTGTAGAGACAGTCAGAACATAAATTGTTTTTGCTGCATTTTAAAAGATGTTTTCTCCCCTTCACCTCACCTTGAGCTATCTGCCTCTGTGAGACCAGTGGCAAAAAGTACTAGCATTTGCTACTCTTCATGGTTTTTTGTTTTGTTTTTTTTCTTTATGCTACTCACTGTAGTTTTGACCCAACCACACTTTGGTCACTGTCCAAACTGCATATAGACTATGTGTATACTCGTGTATACGGTATTCCCTCTTGCATATTTACTATATTCCCTGCCCCCCACTGTGCTTTCAAGATGACAGAGATTTGTAAAAACTGAGGCACTTTAGACAAGTTTCTTTGAAAATACCATTTTGGGGAAAAATAATACATCCTCTGATTGTTTAAACCCAAGACTGTTGGGATAAGCTGTGCCCTCTATTTTACCCATACAACCCCAAGGGAAATCAGTGGGATTTCCCAAAGCAAACTGAGAACAAAACATATGCCCTTTTGTTATATATATATAAAACAATGATTTTTTTTTGCAAAGCACTGAATGCAGCTTTAAAACTTGGCTGGGCTACTTGGAACTCTTATTTTGAAATCATGCATGCAGTGCTAGAAGGAAGTTGCTGCACTGCACTGTACCTGTGCCTCTCCTGCAGATGGTCTCCACCTCTTGACATAAGTACAAAGTAGTATAATTTTAACATCTTGATCTTCCCACAGCAATGAAAATCCCTTTTCATTTTCCTGGTGTTGAATGAGTGAGCTTTCCTTATATCACTGACAATTGTACTATATATCAAATGCTTCAGACCTTATCTTACCTGCTGCCATACAAGTCCGGCTTTCCATACCCATTTATCTTTCACACCCATCCATCTATAACAATTGCCCAAATTAGATATTCTATCAGTTTGGCTTTTGTGCTTGTGTTTATTTCTTTTCCAGTTCTCTTTATTTACAGTACGTGGATGTTGAACAGGCCATTGTGAACCTCTAACATACAGTTTGTTATTGAAACATCATCATACACTGTGAAATTTAAGTGGCTGAAATGCTTGACTTCTTCATTTCCAAGCTGGCATTGTTAGCATCTGCTGCTTCCCAGGCTTCATCACCATTGTCTTGTTTTACATTCACTTGCAGTACAAAGCAATGCTAACCTCAGCCATTCGAATTACTAGCTTTTGAGTTGACTCCAAAGACAGTGTTAATGGCATTGATAGTAACCGAAACTCGCCGTATCTATTTCTTTAGTTATTACTCTGTCATGGACTTAATGGAGATGGTGCAGAAAGTTGATCTTTTGTCCATCCCTTTTTGAGAACCATATCTTAGAGCTTGGTGAAGCAAAATGAATCCACTGCTTTTCTGGTAGCATTTAACGTGATTTACATCTTCAAGTGCTGGGTACTGTATGCTCTTTTGCCGACCTCGGGACTATCCAGAGATCAGATGTCCAAATCCACATCTACATCTGTAGCCTGCTTATCCACTTGCCACTTCTGCTTCCATCTTGTTCTTCATTCTCTCTTGGATAGCTAGCTGCAAATAAAGAGTACTTTATTTGCATAAAAAAGAACAACAGTTATTTGGCAACTTGCATACAGTACAATGATCTTGAAAGTGCAGTGGAAATCCAGAGTTCGTGGCCCCAAACCATGCACTATTACAGGAAACTGATGTGTATGCATTATATTCAATTATTTTTTGTGATGTAATAATCACCCTGGCACTTGACATTTACAATTTTTGAAGGAGATGGAACGATAACATACATCCATATTTACTAGGCGTCACTGAATTATTCACCATTTCCCTCATCCAGAAGTTTAGCTGTGATTTCAGAACCACTGGTTCTGGGGAATATAAACTCTGCCTGACTTTCTGCTTGATTAGGAATGTTAATCCATGTTTCCAAACACAGTGAATAAATATAAAATGACTAGAACCTCGGAGACATACATGATCTGTTCCGATTACCTTAATTCTATTCTGGCAAGGAAAAATGTGTTCCATTTTATATGATATGTTGAAGTTATTGCATAATGTGGTGTATGCCTTTTTGGTGAAATTTCTGTTTATTTATATTCTCCATAAGTTACCTGTAGTGCAGTATATTTTACCTTCAAACCTAAGCACACACCCAGTCTCTCTCTACATCAGTATGATATTTACCTCATGTATGAAGATTTTGTTGGTATCAGGTTTCAGAGTAGCAGCCATGTTAGTCTGTATCCACAAAAAGAACAGGAGTACTTGTGGCACCTTAGAGACTAACACATTTATTAGAGCATAAGCTTTTGTGGATTACAGCACACTTCTTCGGATGCATC